GTTGATGATTAGGATAGAGGGTATTTATTTTAAGTGACTTTTGACCTTGTAGCTAAGTTAGATGCCATTAGAGTCATTTTAGCACTTACATTTTTTAGAGGCTTCAAATACCAAATGGAAGCCAAGAGTGCTTTTTAAATGCAATTATCAAAGAAGATGTCAAGGTAGAATAACCCCCATGCTTTGAAATTCCTCATTCCCAAATCACGCCTATAAGCATAAGATAGCCTTATTTGGGTTAAAACAATCACATAAGGCATGGTATAAGAGACTTAACAATAGTGTAGACACCACATTATTTCTTAAGATGGTTGGATATGATGTACTCATAGTAAAGATTTATGTTGATGATATGCTTGTTGGATCTACAAAAGAAAAACATTGTAAAATATTTTTAGCTAAAATGAGTAAAGAATTTGAAATGAGTATGATGGGAGAGTTGACCTATTTTCTAGAATTTAGTATAAAGAAAAGATAAAATGGTACCTTTCTTAATTAGACTAAATGCATTTAGGAGATATTAAAAATTTTTGACATGGAAGGTTCTAAAATCATAAATACATTAATGATTAACCAACCAACTAAATAAGAATATAAATAAAAAATTATTTGATCAGAAAAAGTACTGAGGAACAATAGGATCACTACTTTATTTGACTACTTGTAGACAAGATATCATGTTCAGTGATTATTTATATGGTAGATTTCAAGCTAATCCCAAAGATTCCTATATTAATAGCATCAAAACAATCCTTAAATATTTGATACGCACCAAAATCTAAACATCTGATATCATAAGAATAACAGCACCTTTGACATTATAGGATATTTAGATTCAAACTTTGTAGGGAGTAGAGTAGATAGGAAAAGTACATATGATACTTATCAATTCATAAGTTTCCATAGTTTTTTTGGTCTAGTATAAATCAAAATTCTTTAGCCCTATCCATTACTAAAGTAGAATATATAGCTATAGGTAGCTATGTTGCCCAAGTGTTATTGCTGAAGTAACAAATTCTTGACCTTAGACTTTTTGTAGGCACCATAACTATCATGTACGATAACATTAGTGCAATATATACTTCAAAAAATCTAATCTAATATTACAGGACAAAGCACATTTATATTAGACATCATTTCATTACATATCATGTAGCAAAGGGTGACATGGATTTACACCATGTGGAAACTAAAAATTAATTGGTAGATAAGTGTACCAAATCCTTCAATTATTATACATTCAATACACTTATGACTTTACTATGTGTCATTAATATTCATGCTTAGAGAAATTAGGATAGAGGTAAGGTAAGGTTTATTTTTGTGTTTATTTGTTTTTTAATTTTTGTTTCTTTTATTTGTTTTTTTTTTATAAAAATTATTTATTATGAATTATGATTATTTGTGCATATGCTTTTGCTTAGTGAATTCTACCTAATCACCACTCACAAAACCATAATTTTTTGTTCACTTTGTACTTTACAATACACTCATCATAGTATATGATCCATATAAGATTTGATCGTTGGAACAAATAATTAGCATATTAATTATTTTTTATTATTTGTTATTGTTGATTGTATAATACGAATTACTTATCATATTATATGATAACTTCTAGTCAACAATCATACCAACGACTCCTCGGGATGATCACTTTTACACTAATCTTACTAGATGATCCCGGATTATACTATATAATTTAACCATTGACTGTATGTTCACAATGAAACATATTGGATGAATTTGATTGTACTGTATGAACAACCTATTATACTGCATGATATATCAAAGCTATTAAAAAGAGGGGAAATAATCTATTTACTTCACATTTCCAAATTTCAAACCCCTCCCCTTCTCTAATTCTACTCCCTCGCTAAGTTTTTAAGTCTTGAAAGTGTGGTCATGTGGATCTCCATAGAATGGTAGATGATAGGTTTCAATATGAGGAGAATATAGATGTTTATGTGTAGAAGATCCTCCATCATAGATTATAAAATCTTTAATCAAGCAAACATTTCCTATAAGGTACTTGAATTATTTGCTACATCCACACTTTGTTTCAATATGTATTTTACCTTTCCATGTCATATCAAGCTTCTTTTAGAATTTTTTTTTTCCAATCATCACACTACCATTAGTTGTACTACTCTCCAATCTCGAGTTTTCCACCGACAAGTAACCATCACATTAGATGATCTATATGAATACCTTCATCTATTAAATATCGATCCATCACTCTATTTTAATTTAGGTTGTTAGATTATAATTGAACCAAAGTAAACACAATCAATAGGAACTCTCGTACACCAAAACACTAACCCTTAGTTAGTTCTTTAATCTTTAATGCATGTGTTATTCAACACATCCTTAAGAATAATGTCAAACCTAAAGTTGGTGACCAAATTAATATCACTCTCCTTTTATCCTTGGTCATCTACTACTGCATGACAAGAACATAATTCAATGCTTGCAACATAATCTTTAAGTATATAGAAAATCTCACATCCATTAGGAATCTGAGAGCCCGAAGAAAGCAACTTAGCTCTAGAATACATCATTGGAAAAATCCAAAAAAATAAATACAACCTAACCTTTTTAACATAACCTAACTACCTTCCTATGTTCTTCACCGATCATTCTTTTCACATCATCTTTAGCAAGGGGAGCACAAGCATAGCCTGCCATTGCCCACAATACAATTATCCATAGGACGCCTGGACAAAAAACTTTTCTCGACTTGAGTTGAAGGTCAATTCTTATATAGAGGATTCCACTCAGCAGTGGGAACAACCCCTACAGCAACAAGAGGAGAAGCACTAGATGTTTAGTGATTGTGTTGCTTCCATCCACTGTTACTTCTAGCCATCATTTCCACCACATGATCTGGGACCCTCCTACGAGTAGTAGTGTTATATTTTTAATAGTTTATTCCTCATAGTTTATTTTTATTTTCTACATTTTCCTTTGTAACATTGGTATGTATTGATGTTAGTTCGTAGAACTCTTTTTATGTTATTGGATGTATTATTTTTACTCTTTAGTGTAGTTTATTTTTTCTTTGTATTTCCTATTATCTAAAACATTCATAATAATTATTATAATAATAAATTTAAAAAATATAATTGTAGGTTTCTCCCTATTTTTTAAAGAGATCAAAAAGTAAGGGAGAGAGCTAGGGAAGTTATTAAAATTAACTTGCAATTTAAAACAACAATGTTTGATATCATAAAAAAATAGAGAGATTATTATAATCCGCACCTAGTGGAAGTGATTCTGTGATGGCATATCTGCCTTATCGAGAGGGTTAAAGGAGAGTCGCTAAAGTATTTAGTGCAATGCCCATAGAGGACTCTCGAGAGCGGACACAGGTCAAGTTGATCGATAACTTAGAGCCCATTTGGGATTGGTTTTATATTGTATTTTTTTTATTTTTGTCTTTTTGTTTAAATATGTTTGTTTCATGTAATTTTTATAAGTATATTTTTATAATTAAAAATAAATTATCTTTTTCTAAAAGGCATTCTAATATTTTTTTTTAAACACTATCTTTGTATGCCACCAACTAATGCCCACCGCCATCCACAACCATTCAACATCATTGCAACTATCAGTATTTGCAATCCCCACAGGCAACCATTGGTTGCTACCAATCGCTAGGGATCACAACTAATAGGGATGCAAGAGAACCAAATGTTCGACGAGCTACATTTTGCTCGATTCGATTAAAGCTTATTTGTTATCGTTCAATTAATCGACCAAACAAATTTGAACATATTTTAAATACTCGATCCTTAAATAAATAAGATTGAACACTAATGTGTTCAACTCATTTATCTTCATGAACAACATCATTTGATGCTCGTGAACAAGCTTGACATTAAGCTCAATAAGAAGCTTAATAAAAGCTCGATTCGTGTTCAATTCTAAACTCCTGAATAAGCTCGGTAAAAACTCAATTAATATTTGATTGTAAAATTGATAAATATGCATAATATAAATATTTCATATTTATTATAACTATATATTTATTGTTAAATAATAAAATTTAAACTAATTAAATATTATGATATATGCTAACACAACCATTGAAGTCATCCTATGAACGCAAAAGATAATCTTGAAGCTGTTGTACCAAATGCAGAGATGGGCAATAGGTAAGCTTCATTTGAAAATATATTCATATATATTAATCTTATTTTCATTTTACATAGACAATTGCTTTTATTATAAATTTAATTTCATTTTATTTTATACTTCAATAGATTAAATTTGTTCATGAAAAACAGACATTTCACATTTGTCCATGATTGCTAGATTGTTTGTGTAAAATGATAATGAACAAATATGAGATGAAGATAGATTGCTTGTTCATGAACGAGCTCATTTGGTAGCTCGAAAAAACTAGTTAAACATGTTTATGAACTTGCTCATTTGATAGCTCAAAAATACTCGTTAGATATGTTCATAAATGTGCTTGTTTGATTGTATTAAAAAATTTGTTAATATGTTCATGAACATGCTCAATGTAATTAATTATTAGGAGGCTCGATAAAACTCGTTTGCTAAGTTAATAAAAGTTAAAAGTACAGCTCGTTTATAGTTTGTTAAGGCTTATTTATTTAAATCTCGATAAGCACTAAACGAATCAAATATAACCAAACTTGAACACTTTTTAATTTAAACGAATCAAACATGAACACAAAAAATAAAGATCGCATCAAACATGAACCAAACTTGAACAAATTCATAATAAATGAACTCAAACATGAAGACTCACATATTCAACTCGGCTTGTTTCGATTCATTTACAACACTAACAGCTAAATACCACTACCCTCACCTTCCACCAAAGCCTTCTAGTTGTGACTATTGTCAATCACATTATCATCACCTTCATGATCATCATGACCATCACCAATGCCATCGTATAAGCAAAAAAAATAGTATATTTTACTTTAAATCCAAAATATAAATAAATGAAAATAAAGAAAATAAACCTAACGGTTCCTTTCGTTTCCAAACCGCTCATCTATGGTCTCGACCCTCAGATCCCTCGGAAGAAAACCCCGGCCCTCCCTCTTACGCACCGGCACCGCCAGCGCCAGCGCCCCCGTTACTGATACAGCTGGCCACCCTGCCACCACATGGGTCTCTGCCCCCGGCAATCCACTCATGCGTTGGCCTCCGCCGCAACCGCCGTCAAAATCACAACTCCAAATCTCCTTTCAGCCGCCGCACACTCCACCATTCTCAGTAAATATACAATACGATGTTACTGCTACTACATCCGCCATCTCCTCACTCATACGTGCTACTCCACTCTCCGACCTTAATGCCACTCTCATCAGCTCCGGCCTTCTTCAATTCCCAAATTTCCCTTCCATAATCGTCCTTCTTATCCGCTCCCATTACTTCGACCTCGCTTGGTCTCTCCTCCTCTCTCATCCTCCCTCCCCTCTCTCAACCTTCACCTCCCTCTTCCGCCGCTACTCCCGAGCACAAATGCCCTCCGCTGCCATCCGAACCTTCCTCTTCCTCCGTCACCACCCACACCTTTACACCACCACACCTGACGATGATGACAACCCTCTCGAGCTCCTCCTGGACGCCCTCTGCAAGGAAGGCCATCCAAAAACTGCCGCCGACTTCCTTACCCAGTTGAAATCAGAAGACCCCAATTGGATTCCCTCTGTCCGCTGCCACAATATCCTCCTCCACGGCTGGTTCCGCCAACAAAAGCTAAAGAAGGCGGAGAGTTTATGGTATGAGATGCGTCGTGATGGGGTATCTCTTACTGTTGTCAGCTACGGCACTGTTGTCGATGGTTTATGCCGCCTGCGCCGCCCAGATCAAGCTATGGATCTTCTTGAAGAGATGCGACGTTCAGGTATCGAGCCTAATCTCCTTACCTGCAACCCTATTGTTGATTCCCTTTCAGAGGCTGGAAGATTTCGGGAAGCTCTTGGATTTGTTGAGAGGTTCCCTCTTTTCGGCATTTCGCCAAATATCTCCACTTATAACTCATTAATTAAAGGGTTCTGCAAGAATTTTGATCTTAAAGGAGCTAGCAATGTTCTGAAGACCATGAACGGAAGAGGCATTCTGCCGACATCGACTACATATAATTATTTCTTTAGATATTTTGCAAAATTCGGCATGGTTGAGGAGGGTATGAATCTTTATAACAAGATGCTTGAATCTGGGTACGCTCCAGAAAGGCTTACGTATCAGCTACTTTTCAAAATGCTTTGCGAGTTGAAAGAGTTGGATCTTGCAGTGCAGCTGATCAAGGAGATGCAAAGGAATGGGTTTGAGTTGGACCTGGCAATGAGCACTATGCTCGTGCATTTGCTCTGTCGCTTAAGAAGGTATGATGAGGCCTGTAAAGAGTTCGAGGAAATGCTTAGAAGGGGAATTGTGCCACAGTACATCACTTATCAGAAGTTATCTAAAGAGTTGAAAAGATTGGGTTTGGTAAAAATGGAGGAGAGATTATCAGCTTTGATGTGTTCAGTACCACATTCTACGAAATTGCCTGCAACTTACATGGACAATGGCGGAGGTGAGGCGGCAGAAAGGCAGAAGTCAATACTTAAGAAGGCTCAGGCAATGTCAGAGGTTCTTAAGGAAAGAAAAGGTAAGGATCAAGTGACCAAATTGGAGACATTTGAGGAAAGCATGATTGAGAAAGCAAATAAATTGATTATAAATATAAGGAGGAGAGTATATACAGTAAAAAGTTAGTTCTTCACTCTCCAAGCGCTTTGAAACATTCAATTTTTATGATTTTGTAAGTCAAAACTGGAATTGTTGCAAAATGATGATGGTTTATTTTAGTTTGTCAATAAAAGAAAAGATAATGCCACTTAATTCAATATATATGTTATTCTGATAAAACATATGAGAATAACATGATAATGGTAACTTTATTTCATCCTAATTTCACAATCCTCAATTTAATGCTGGAACAGTAAATGGAAGCTTAAAAATTAAGAATAACCGAATATCTTTTGATCCATGGAAAGAGCAGATTTGGAAAAAGTTAAAGATATTCCAATAAGCTTTTTGGTATTCATGAAGGAAGGGTATTTTTAGAGTATGTGTAGAATCTAAAAGAGTAAGAGGAGGATAAGTAGAATTTTTAATTTCACAGGCCTTCATTATAATATGAGGGGTGTTTATACTAATTGGGTAGACTAACTTTACAATAAAGAATCAATCTATCTAAAGGAAACTTAAATAAGATAAAAAGATGAATTGTTGGTATGCCATATGTATAAATTTGAGATTTATTTGGCCAAAGATGTATTGTTGTCCTTTGTGGGTTGTAGTGTCCATGTGAAATTTTTTTGTTTATTCTTCTTCTTTGATAGATTTTTATAGTTGTAGGTAGGTCTTTCTTATTGTAGATCATGCTTAACATTGTGATTGTACAATCTTAGGATCCAATAAAATGTGTTGATGTTTAACACTACCGTCATCATCGAAAATAACATTGTCCTCAAAGTTGAGAGAAGGAAAAGACGAAGAAAGTGCTAGAAAAATTTTCACCCAGCATCATCCAACAACAACATGAAGCCTTTGTCCCACTACGTGGCATCGGCTATATGAATCCTTTTTCGCCATTGTGTCCGGTTAAAAGTCAAATTCTCATTTAAATCTAATAAAGAAAGATCATTTCTAATATTTTCTACCTAAGTCTTTTTAGGTTTATCTCTACCATTCTTAACATAAGTCAAATCTAATACCTCAACTTTCCTAACCGGGCCATCGGAAGACCTCTGTTTAATGTGACCAAACCATCTAAGGTGACTCTCTCTAATCTTATCTTCCACTAGAGCTACTCCAACCTTTTCACGTATATGCTCATTTTGTATCCTATCTCTTAGGGTCAAGCCACTCATCCACCTAAGCATCCTCATATCTGCAACACTTAACTTAGTATTATGCTTCTCTTTTAATGGCCAACATTCGGCACCATAAAGCATTGCAAGTTTCACGACCATCTTATATAATTTTCCCTTAAGCTCGATGCATTCCTCCACTTCAACCACCCAACTTGAATTCTGCTGATAATATTCCCATCAATTTCACCATCACTCTGAACAATAGATCCAAAATATTTAAAACATGTACTCTTATTAATGACTTGATCGCCCAAAGTCACTGTTGAAGAATTTTTGTATCCTCAAACTGATTGCATACTTTATGATTGAGCACGACATAAGAATGATGATATATTACCCATGAGGGCAAAAATACCATTTTCTTATGAAGTCAATAATAAGGTGATTTAAAACAGAGATTCTCCCATTCAATGTTTGGTTGAATGGGGTTTATTTATTTCTGGGGTACAGACGTCTCATAGGAGCTTGCACCTATGGTTAATTACATCTCAAGTTTTGGCTTGAGATAACTTTTAATTAAACTAGTGGTTTTCTTCATTTGGAAGTCATTTTAGACATTGGCTACAGTTTGATTTTTTTAAAAATCCATGAAAGTATTAATTAAAGGGTTTTGGCCTTTAGGAATTTCAAGGAGGTGAAAAGATCAACTTAGAATTAGATTTTGGAATGAGAGTCAAATGAGGTGAGGTAGGAGCACTTGATTATGAGGGAAACTCAGAGGTGCTCGAACTATCTTATATTGGGCTTTACAATTTAGAATCCAATTTTGGTTTAAGTTGATATTTTAATTAGAAAGTTGAGGCTTACATTCTAACAACACATATTGGAGAGATTGCCAGAAAGGTGAGGGCTTATAAGATTATTTGGAATGAACCAATGCCTCGAACCCTAAAACTAAGGTGAGGACTACCAATAGGTAGTGTCTCAAACCTAAATCTAATGAGTGCAAAGGGGCTTACAAACTACACCTCACAAGAGGCATAGCCCACCCGACCTATGGATTTACTTTCCCGCTTGGATGGGACTACCAGCTAGACCCACCTAATCGATTTTAAAACCATGCCATCCGATCTTAATGTAGATGTAGAGTGGAGGGTTTTTTTATTTAGAAGGTAGGACTTATAGCTTGGCTTTGAGGCCAAGATGTCTAATTATGATGGGTATGCATAATGTTAGTCCTTAAGTGACGGCTTTTCTACATGAGACACTTTGGCTATGCATGATTGTTTTAAGTTTTGGAAAACTTGGCTCTTTTAAAGAGAGCCATGCAAATTTTTTTTAATTAGAAAATCATGGAGCCTAATTTCATTTTTTAGAGTGTTTACATGTTAAGAGGTAGAAAATTTATTTTATCCTAAGAGCCTACTGCACCAAAAGTCTAGGCCACACCCAAACAAAGTAATAGAAGAAATCTAGGAAACAGACATGCTTTTCTAATGTGCATCCAGTAAACACATCAACACATGCTTGTATATCAATCAAAACAGAAGTGTAAATAGTGTCCCAATTATTACAAGTATGTTTGGCAACTGAGTTGCCTGTCATTATACAACCCAGTTAAATTTATAGACTCTACTTGCAGGGGTCTTCAAGCTTTAACTCTTCAGTGGACCATCAAGCTTCAACTCCGAGGAAGTACATCCTTCTTCAATCCACATTTTCTTCTAATCCAAACCTCACAAGTTTTACATTCTAGATCTAATCAAATACATGATATAAAATAAAAAAGACTCCCAATATCTTCATGCTTACAAATTTGTAAATTTTGTAAACAAACAAAATGTGAACAAACAATCACCATTAAAAACACACTAAACTTGATGAAAGGCTTGTCATGGATTTGGTTGGTTATGAATGGGGTTTACAACATAAGTCTTTGGAGACTTGTAGTAAACCTCACAACAATTTGCACCAAGGATCTTTTTGCAAGCTCAAATAACTCCACTATAAGTTTTCACCAAATTTATTAAGCAATGAGCTTTAGCATACACAACATACCCTAAACATATGTCAATTTTGTTGTTGTGCGTCAATCTAAGGAGCCTAACCTAGCATGCGACATTATAAAGAAAAGTTAACACCCTAACATTTGATTTCTATGTCAAATAGAATGGCCTAACCTATGATTCAAACATAGGTAATGGGAGAGATGCATGAATGCAAAAACATACAATTTGGAAGGTGTCAGACACCAATCCAACACCTCCATACATATTGAAATCCTCTCCAGACTCTCACATGAGATCCAACAAATGGAAATCACCAAATTTCCATAGTTTCGCGAAGTGGACAGCCAACAAAGGGATTTTTGGGGACCAAAAATCAAAGTTTCTAGGGACCTAAGGCTTTGGATCGTCAATCACATGTCATTGGCTAGGGAGCCTTAAGGTTTTGCCTAAGTTTTAGTGTTATACCTCTCTCGGTTTGTCCTAGTGCTCCTATCCAAGATCCGGGTCGCTGTCCAAGCTCCAATCTAAGCTCCAAAGTTGCTCCAAGCCGTTCCAAGCGAGGAAGATCACTGTCTAAGATGTTATGGTCGTCGCCGCCGCTGTCCAAGGTGATTTGAAGGTTCAAAATTTTTGTTTGAGAAGTTTTGAAGTCTTCCTTTGCTATGGAAGCTTTAAATAGCTTCCAACCCGCCTCGAGGTCGCCGGCAACGAAGAAGAAAGAGGGTAGAAATGCTCTTCCGCAAGAAGTGCCACACCAGCCCAAATCTGGACAGAATCGGGGCTTTGGACCAAACCTGGAGGCCGGTGGCTTAGAGAGATGCGGCCAACGGGAGGAGGCCGACCCCTAGAAGGCTTGGTTGAAGTCTTAGATGGAGTCGGACAGAAGCTTTGCACGTGAGGTGGGGCGCAAATGATGGCCTGAGCACGGGATTCGCTATGTCACTCTCTCTCACTCACTCTCTGGGTCGGGACGGACGAACAAAAGAAATCTGGGGAACCGAATGCCTCTCCCCTCTCTCTCTCGCTCGTTATCTTAGGGACGAATGCCCACAGCAAGCTTGCCGCCACAAAACTTCTAATAAGGCCTCTGTGAAGAGTGAAACAAAGCAAATCCACTTGAGTAGATTTTCTGCCCAATTGAAGTTAAATTGGGTCCGGGACTTGAGGAGAGATCTCGACCCTAGATCTCAAATTTTTATTTCAGATCCAAATTCAGCCCAAATTTGCTAATTTGGACTGGAATTGAGTTCGAATCGAACTCAAATTGGATAGATTTGGATCCAATCAAGTTAATTTCATGAAATTAAACTCAAATTGGCATCGAATTACGTCGAAGTGGGCTCGACGATGCTCGACGGGGTTCGATTGGGTTTGATTTGATTTTAATTAAATTAAATCGAATTTAATTTAATTAAATTGAGGCTTAATTCGGGTCAATTTTATTTGGACGACATTCGATTGGGTCGATTGAGCCTAGTTGGGCTCGATCAGGGTCGGGTCGATACAAAAATATGCGTCAACAAAAGGACCTCCAATATGTGTGGTGAACAAAAAGAAGTACGCCACACAAGTTGGCGTTGACCAAATAATGATCAAACGAGATCTTCCAAATCAATTAAGGTATGATTTGAAAGGGGAAGAGAGACCTACAAGAGCCTAAACTTAGATTTAGGCAAGGTCTACAACAACAAAGAGATTTCTATCTATCACCTTAAAGAAAGAGTTTTAAATTACTCTTGGAAGAGAATTTAGAAGCATTTTGACAACTTCTAAAGAGGTTTCTAAAGACATTTGATATCTTTAGAGATGATTTGATAGGAATAGAAGTATCTTGAAAACTTCTAAGAGGCTTCTAGAGATGTTGGGTATCTCTAGAAAGATATTAGATCAATTAGAAGTATTTTGACAACTTCCAAAAGAGACTTCTAAGGATATTTGGTATCCTTAGAGAAAATTGATTTGGTTAGAAGAAACATGATAACTTCTAAAAGAGCTTAGGGATGTTTTCTATCACCTATA